CGCCTCACCTTTACTTCAAATTATAAGATGCAAAGATAACACAAATACAAATGTTTGCGCATGTCATCATGCCAATGTCGATAGAACACAAATACTCCAACTTTGATAACATGAATGTTTCTTAAAACTGCTAAACAAACGTTTTGTTCTATACTATGTGCACCTAAATGGTATTTCGTTTGTACAAAAGGCTAATGGCCTACAAGTACTGAATGGAGTTTGATTTTGATTTCCCTTTCCACTTACGTACTGGATTTGAAAGTTCCATAAAAATACGTGCAAAGAGAGACAATCGGAATTAATACCATGTGGATTCTTCGGAGCTCAATGGAGTTCTTATTATTCTCATAAAAGAACCAAGTTTCTTATCACTTGTCCATGCAACATACTTCTTTCTGTGATCTATGGGGCATTAAAATAGATATAGTTTCACCTCTTTCTTCAGATTGTTAAAAAGTAAAGTAAAATTTAATGTCACCTGACAGTTTACTGACAAAACAATATGTGAGATTCTGAAATTCCTCATAAATAACATCTATGTGAAATTTGGGGAAAGGGCATTCAGCAACAAAACCAACATTCCCAAGGGCTCCCATCTTTCGCGAATCTATTTATTGATGCATGCAAGTCGGGACTACCGGTTTCATTACCAAAGTCAAAACAAGGGCTTTAGTTCAGGTACATTGCTGATCTTCTATTGTTCATAAAGTTCTCAAATAGATAATTGCTTTCCACTAATTTAGGCACCTGGACTAGGAATGAAGGAAGCCAGTTAAACACCCTCTTTCTTCTAAGGTTTCACAAAGCATCATACAGCTCTTGCTCAAAAGTTGTTTTACCAGGGTTACAACAGCAAGGGCATCAGCTAAGCTTTCAAAACTTTTTAGGTAGAGGACATTACCAAAATTGACACATCAATGACAAAACTATTGTCTGACGCAATTCCTTAATTTGACTTGAGCCAAGTTTCCGTGTTTCTTTAGGTGGATAATTGACTTGCCTTTGCATGGATTTGTGACAAGGGCCATCAGAGGGGCGGGGCACGCCCACCTTATAGCGAAAACCTTCTCCACCAATTGTCATCACTCAATAGATAGATATATAGTTATATTGACATGTTATAGTTATAGACTGTTAATTTCGAATATTCCTCACTTTACTACAGAATGAATATATCTACAAACGTTAAAGCGTTAAAGACAGACAGGCAGGCAGATATATTTACTAAAAGCATGAGTTTTTAAACGTGATGTGGAAACACCAGCTAGGCTACTTGACGTGAAAGGAACACTGACGATTCGAACATTAAGTACATTTTGCTATTAATCTTAGAATTACAATCCTTAAATTGAAGATGTATAATGTACGTTGTGTTGAGATAGTCCATACTTTGTTGATATTATTAGTAGGAATTATTAATTAACCATTTCAATTGAGAATTGTTCCATTGCCATTTTTTATTTACATTTGAATAGCTCACTTTTTTTAAAAATAACCTTTTGAAAAGCCCAATATGTACGACGAATAAAGACCACGTTTGTGAAAGAATGAATGGCAAAGAATGTATCAAAACTCGTCTGAGGTATATAGTGGATTTCTACAAGTAGAACATTTGATATTCATTTGAACCCACGCTATAGTCGTGCGGGTGTTACTCTATGAAAATTTCATTCACCTGCACACTTAATACATGTTTCTAATCAAACTAATCCTTTGATATTATATTTTAAAGGCGTTGCGGGGTATAATATTCAGTGGCATGTCATCTTTTTGTATGAATGTCACAACATGCAGTGCTTAAGATGGGCGTTATCTGTGATTTGAAGACATTGAACATGTATTTAGTATTGCGAGGTATTGAATGCCCATAATGCTTTCATTGTTAAGTGTTAGCTTTGAAAGTGAACAAAGATTTACCTGAAGGCTGATATTCACCCTTTTATGTTTTGTTACATTTTAGGTGCTCATGTGTTCAGTCATATCGTATCATCGTTCGTATAAGTCTCAGAAATGCATCATATGTACGCGTTCGCGTACCCAAACAGTTATACAAGAATCTTCAGTTTCCTTGTAAATGACATTGTATCACAAATGTGATTCCATAATTACTAGAGGTATTGGAGTCGGCAAGGATATCTTAATGCCAAGCATATCTAATATGTACACTATATTACATGCCATGACATTTATCTCCAAAATGGAATGTGAATAAACGACTAATATTTTCGTGAATAATGACTACATGTTCAATAGTATATTTATTATATCAACAAATGACCATGGTAATCAAGGACTTCTGTTATTTTGTTCACACTATGTTCTGTAGGATAAAAATATCGGATATGTATTTGCAATAATCGAAATATTTGGTCACCTGAACTACCTTTTGCTATAAAGTATTCATTCAACCAGCGAAGACAGTCTTATGAATGCCTTCCAGTATCAACGACGATGCCACAATGTACACTGGCTTGGTATGTTATATTCAAATAATTGTAGTGTTTGTCTACATTACATGGTAAAACATTATTCATATGTAATTTAAAGTGTATTTAAATGTGATGTTACTTTGGATCATGTTAATAAGTATTCAACTTAAAGTGCTGTGTGTGTTTGTTTGTTGGTCGTATAACGCCACACATCGATATTACAGCTATATGACGACGGTCTGTCAATAATCGAGTCTGGTTCAGACAATCCTGTGATTGATATCATGAACATCGATCAACGTAACTGGGATACGATGACAGGCATCAAGCAAGTCAGCGAGCCTGACTACCTGATCCCGTCAGTCGCCCCTTATGACAAGCATATTCGCTTTTTACAGCCACCAAGGGTTGCTGAAGACCTATTCTACACCGGATCTTCACGGGTCTCAGCTTATCTTGAATCAAATTATTCGTTTCGTATTATCTGGCAAACCCGCTATCTTCATAAGGATGACAGTATAGAACTGTTTTGGCCCTCAAAGTTTTACCAATAATAGTTACCTTTATTTACACAAACCACCCCCTGATGAATGGGTATATGTCATTTTTCGAGCATCATTTGAGCTCTATAAGTAAATGATGGAATATGAGCCAAACAAATCAGTGGTTGATATCAATAGAAAATATCCTCGGCTGTTTAACGAACACCTATTGTCTTCTCAAAGGGTGATATTCGGCACGCAGACATCCTGTGCAGCAATGTTTCCATGAAGTTTGTTGTTTTCACTAACGCTAGCACCACTCGGCATAAAACACATTGACTTAATTACAAATGACAAATGCGAAACGTATACATGACCGCTTTCAAGTAGATGTGAAAGTCAGAACTGTCAACCATCTGTGCAGACTGAAATACAGAAATCGCTATATACACACTGTGTCAGCGTGCCCTGACCAACATAGTGTTAAATGGTGATCGCCGCATAGCGCCTCTACACTTGTTGCAATATGAGTTGACTGTGGGTTATCAAAGACGATCGACTAGCTATTGAAACGTTTATTTGAAAATAAGTATGCCCCTAAACAGTAATAGTGAATAGCTCTTTCAAATGAATAAACCTCGCCCTGCCAACGTGTATGGTGTCTATGATCCCACACATTGGATCTACACAAAAGCACACGAACACTACACGCTGCTACTTGTATAGCCGATTCTCAGAACTGACAGTGTTATGATCTCTACTGACAAGTTCGACAAAATGCAAGCAGTTGAATGTCTCTCGTCTTGTAGCGTTCAGTACAACTTGTTATCCACATGCAGTTGATAAAACCTGTGGTTCCCTGTGTACATACATAACACAGGATCTAGTTTTGTAAAAGGCTAATATCAGTTGCAGTATATTTTGAAAACAGTTATTTATAAACGCTATTTGGAAATAGGGCATTGTTCGTACTTTGTTAAGCAAAGTGCCAAAGGGTATAGTTATGATAATTAATAATTATGAGGGAAATTAAACTAAAGAAATAATTAATAACATGGGGCATTAAATGGGGCATTGCTTGTACTCTGTTCACAAAAGACCTTTTTTCATGGCGACAGCAAAGATATAAGTAAAATAATGACAGATTGTAGGGAGACTACCACATAAAACTATGGACGATGCCATAATAAGCAACGAAAATGACCCGAAGGATGCCAAGAACGGATAATTACACGAAGGGAATCTGAGAGAATGGAAATGTCCCAAGAGTACAGGGTTGATGAATGTGAGTGAGTGTGTGGGTGTTTTGAACAGCATTTCAGTTATATCACGGCGTGTCAGTTTGATGTGAGAGAACAGCCGGAAATGATGTAGGTCTTAAACCTTTATTGCATTTGGAAAAACCAACGAGCAACCGTACAAACTCCAAACACAGCGAAACAGGAACCACTGTTTCTGGCACGCCCAAGGGACGCAACTCTTGACAGCGAAATGCGCCTTACATGTAGTTGGGTAGGAGAGTGGTGGCCAACAGGGATCTACAGGGAACCTCAGGCAATACATTGGATGTGACCAATGCTTGTATTTAATATGTAAATATATGTGTGAAGTATAACACGTCTTGCATAAACGGAATCAGCAGTATGTGGTTTATTTAAAGGTTAATCGGATTACTGGATTACTTTTTGTTAGTTTAATTGGTATGACTTAACACGTTGAAAGAGTGCTGTTATTGGCCCGCCCCTGGAGACATGGAATACTTCTACAATGGCCTTGTTCTACAAAGCGATCTTAGTGCGGGGTGTTCCCACTTTGCCGACAGGTATTGTCTAGGATAATTAAGGTAATCTCCCGGGATAATCCACATACAATGGAGGGATTAAACACAGATTAATTGACTGACTGCCGGCAAGGTGAGGTAGCTCTTATTCCAAATGATTACCATATAACCCAATAAAACACATTTCTTTCACATAATTCTTCAAACACAATTCTTTCACATATTTCTTTATTTTCATATATAATTTTATATACATTTACATTTGCACATCATGCATTAAATCACAACAATAAAATATTACAATCCAACCAGATGGGAGACGGCATCTCGATATTCCATCTTTGTCTTGCCATTATTCGGAAGACAGACTTTCAGGCGGTCTATTTCATGCTCCAGTTGGCGATACTGTTTCTTCTTGGGGCGTTTCTTACCACCAGACTGGAGCTGACTGATGGTCACCTCTGTCATTGATTGTTCAGATTTTATAAGGGTGATGAACCTGAAGATGTTGGGATGGTTGGTGGTCATGTTGTTGATTCTTGCGTGCCACCCCTCAACATGATTCGTGATTCGTGGACCTAGCGTGTCAAAATGGTTCCACATATTTCTGTCTTCTCCCTCAACCCACTGCTCAGTTACGTAATCAGCAAACTTCCAAATTGAAGGGTCTTCCATTTTAGCAGCTTCAAGGGTATTGAACCAGAAATGTTCGATATCTTCGGGTCTCATGATCAGTAGAGGTAGGGCACAAGCTCTCCTCACGAACAAGTTCACATCTGGGTTGTTTGCAAAGGCACTTTGCAGACCACACCTCTGGACATTGCGTAATCTGACTAATGCGGATTAGATTTAATTAGACTTTATTAATCCATATAATCTGCCGGCAAAGTGAGAACAAACCCTTAGTGCAACCATAAGCTACTTAGCCTTTGTAGAACGGGTCCCAGGTAATCCGGAGTGGCAGTTAGTGCCATGACAATGGGTACCCTGACAATTTTGTATTAACTAATAATAAACCTTTGATTCGAATTTCCAATATTAGCTTTAGAAGTAACACTCGTAAATATGTCGTTGTGTTTTATTCAGCTGTGACAAATAGATGTCTTCAGAACAATTACCGGCAATGTACTTCGGTATTATCTCAATGTATATTAATAAATAATAAACGGAATATTTGTTGAAATTGATGTCTAAAGTTAGGTTTGGATAATGTTCATTAATATTAATGATTAACAATATATGAACACTAATTATGAGAACAGAACATCTGATTCATTTAGTTGCTACGGATACATGTGCAGCCTCTTTTATCTCAAGTCAGGGGTACAAAGTAACCTTATTCTCAAAAAGAAAACAAAACTCAGCATTTGAGAAACAAATGGAAGATGAAACATGTACACATTTTTTATGTAAGTTGCCTATACCTAGGGCTAGGGTATGTTGTTCTTTATCGGTAGCAATTACTCTCATGCTCTGCCCTATCAGTAGGATGCGCCTTGAGTGAGAACATGCCCGGTCCCATTGGAAGCACCTGTTAGGAACCTGAACATGCACTGCACTATCGCTAGTATTTGTAATGAGTGTAAGCATGTCCTTCCCTATGGGTAGCACCCTTAAGGAGCGTTGGGATGTCCTGCCTTCTCTGTAGCACATGGCATGAGTGTGAGCATGTGCTGCCCTACCGGTAACACCTGTCAAGAATTCGAGCACGTTCTACACCATGAGTATCACCCGTAATAATGTTTTCAACTATGTAAAAGTGTGAGCATGTCTTGCCTCATTGCTAGCATGGTCATTGTGAGACCATGTCCTGCCCTATCGGAAATCCCCGTCATGTGTGTGATCATGTCCTGCCCCATCGGTATCACTTGTCATGGGTGTGAGCATGTCCTTATAATTAGTGTGTCATTTCCCATCGTCATAAAACTTGACTCTAACACATCTTGTAATGTTGGAAATTTTGAGATATTTCGGAGTATCCTCTACTTGTTGTGTAGTGTAAAGATCACTCACTCAAGATGACCACAAATGTGGCGGGGTCAAGGCACCGTCTGAAATAAGGAGGGTTTAGAACAATATCGCTGAGGATACTCTGAAATCAACAAACAAATCAACAACTTCTCTTTTTGTCAAGTCATCTTTATTATATGAGCGTATATTGTCACGTTGTGCGAGTATCTCTTATTTCAACATGTAGCTAACTTAACACATTCGCTTGTGACAATTCTCACGTGTACTGACATTCTCCATGCAAATTGGTATCATATAAAGGTTTGTGTTACAAAACATTCATCTAACAACAAACTTTCAAATAATCCAATCATAATTCCTGCCTATTAACTTGATCGATTGACGAAATTGCATTGACATTATTTTCCCTATATGATGAGTTTACCGGTGCTGATGGATGATCTCCCCTGAATTAAGAGGAAGCTCAAACTAACCACTGCAAACGACACAGTGGACACTCTTCTCAATGAGTAACTCCGGGACACTGACAGTAAGGGCAGCCACTAGACCTCTGCTCCATAAAGCAACCTTCAGTGTTACATATAGTTCATGATCACATGCAGTTCAGTCTCAGCACTACGACAGTTTTCTTTAACAGGGCCTAGCTTTATATAAAGATACAAGATGCCCAATCAATGTATGTTAGGTTTGGAGATTTCATGTTCGCATTTAAGAATCACCCTGTCACCTCACTCTCAAATATAATCGGGAGCATGGATGGACCAGTCGTCTAAGGCGCCGCAGTTCGTTGTGCATAGTTGCGTCCCTTGGGCACGCCAGAAATCCATGATTGTGGGTTCAAATCCCACTTCGCCCCGATTACGTTTCTAGGTTTGTCAGCACCATACCCGTGCTCGTCGGTTCCTCGAAGTGGTTAACGTCTAAGACCTGCATAACTTCGGGCTTTCCTCCCACATTAAGCTGACACGCCGTGATATAACTTGAATACTGTTAAAAGCGGCGTTAAACCCAACTCACTCACTCAAACATAATCTCCTGTAGACGTAGGGAATGGGTACAGAGATAGATATTGCACAGAGACTATACAGATATTGACTATCACTGCCCTATGAACCTTACTGGTTTTTCTCATCACTAACACATGCATTTTGAACTATTGTGTTATCCATCACTGACAGATGATGCTTGTGTTATTCAACATTTTACCAAACTTGTCTAACACACTTCAAAGTACATCCTACATGTAGGACAATGAGGACTATCTCTGAATTATGCGGGGATGTAATTGATACTGCCACTTTAAATGCAAAGGATACCAAGTATTCAACACTGAATGAATTACTTATTGCACTGGAAGGTGAAAGATAACTAAAACTAGTTGTGTGACTTCTGTTAGTTAGGTAAGCTGACACAATTATGCCTATTGCCACGTATCTGGACAAAATAGCTTCAACTTATCTGATACTTGTTCTGCTGACTCTGCATATGCCTTGTCTACAATGGTTATTGCCGGTAACACTTGTTGACCCAATAGCCTCTTAGGGGATGAATAAGAACTATTCAGTATAAAGCTTTTGAGTCATGATGATTCGTCTTACAATACATATGTACAATGCATTATCATGGCCACAACCACACATGTTGTTAGACAGTTGAAGACCGTCGCTAGTGAACATGGATAACAGTGGAATAAACAGAGGTGTGTATATATGGTCCGACAGTCTAGAGAAGAAGGAGGACAGAAAAAGAAGAACTTGAGAAAAGATTGCATAAGAAGTTGCAGGAATATATGTTGTCCTACTTTTGAAATACCAACGTAAGTTACCGTAAGAGCTCTAAGCATGTGTCTGAACATGGAAGCTGTGGAAATGAGGAAAGCAAAGTAAGAGAAGGAGAATGGACAACGAGGGAGAGGACAAAACAAACTACAGGACTTTTAAAAGAGGTTACGCATGTAAACATTATATGCAATATAATATGACACGCAATAATAGACGAGCACTGGCGCAATTTTAATGTGGGATTGTACCTTCAAGGCTCAAGACTGGTAGATTCGAGAACTTGCCCCAGACAAAAACAATACTTTTACTGTGAAGACAAAACAGATGACGAAACACATATTTTACTGCACTGCCCACTGCGCAACACTGTCAGAACTTTAAATAAATGTGCAAAATTGCAATACACCCTCTGATCAGGAAAAACTGTTTCTTAGTGTAGCCAACCCACTGTGTGATTACGTAAGTGCCCAAGCCTGCAAGGATGATTTAGAAATTAGACAATTCACATTATAGAACATCTTAGATTTGTTATATTAACACAACATATATATATGTCTGTCTCCCATCGTTAATTTTAGGGTGTATGTATCTAAATACTGTATGACATTCAGATGACATCATTAAGCATGGGCGTACAGTAGGAGATCAGCTAATGCCACGTGACATTGGATGTGAGGGAGAGGTTGAGGTCGTGGGTCACGATACTCAGTGATGGTGAATGAGTTTGGGCGTGTTAATGATGCCGACATGCCAATCATAAACAAGACAAATTTGGAATTCGGATACACAGTATACAAGAATAGTGAATATACAGCGTCTACCCCAGAGAGTAATCTGTCTCGATTGTTGCAAGAAACAGATTTCAATGGGAGTAAAAGGCAAAACAGCAGTGAAAATTACATGAATGGATCATAAATAATCACCAATGATTTCTGTCCACCAGCAGAAACATCAGCCCAAAGTAGTCAAATAATGTATAGATGTATATCTACATTTAACTAATGAGGTAAATGAATATCTTATTTGTAAATGAACATTTATTTTACAATATAAATCATAATTAGGAAGGGGGGTTTAAGGATAAATACAACTGATTTCGTATGTGTCAAACAAATTATCAAATAATTTTAACAAAGAGTTTGACAACATCATGATCAATGAACAGTTAACATTCACACAACAAAACAACATACAGGTGATACATATTCTTATACCGACATTCTTACGGCTGTTGATCATCCATTTAGCGTGAATATTATAAGTAATATATCTTGGGATATTTGATCTTTATTGCAGATGGATGACATCTGTATGTTAAAGTTGAGATCAGGACCAAGTGTCTGTTTGTAAGGTGGAAGTAAACACTAGGTAGTAGTAGAATGGTGCAGATGTGCGTTGATGTCCTTGACGTTGATCTGAAATAACAATGATCGGGATGCAGAGTAATGTGATTAATGAAATTCCCTATTTTGAACGAAGAAATTCATTTATATAATTTCTCCAGAAACAGAATATACTTCACTGAACATAATCCCCCTTGACACAAGAGAAACCATAAACGAGCAATGAACATACATTTGCCAATCTCAAATGAACGCCCTGTATAATGGGTAAATCAGCGAGGTAAACCCCCTGTGTATTGGTTTATGTATACAAACTTTCAAATATTCCATTTATAACAATTCTCACGTGTACTGACATTCTCCATGCAAATTAGTATCATATAAAATTTTGCGTTACAAAACATTCATCTAACAACAATCTTTCAAATAATCCATTATAATAATTCCTGCCTATTAACTTGATCGATTAACGAAATTGCATTATTTTCCCGATCTGATGTGTTTACGGGTACTGATGGGTGGTCTCCCCTGAATTAAGAGGAAGCTCAAACTAACCATTGCAACCGACACAGCGCATAAGTAACTCGAGGACACTGACAGTAAGGACAGCCACCAGGCCTCTGCTCCATAGAGCAACCTTCAGTGTTTACATATAGTTCATGATCACATGCAGTTTGGTCTCAGCACAACAACAGTTTTCTTTAACAGGGCCTCGCCTTAAATACAATTCCAATGTATGTTAAGTTTGGAGGTTTCATGTTCGCATTTTACGAATCACCCTGTCACCTCACTCTCAAATATAATCGGGGCACGGATGGACCAGTCGTCTTAGGCGCCGCAGTTGGCTATGCAGAGTTGCGTCCCATGGGCACGCAAGAAATCCATGATTGTGGGTTCGAATCCTGGTTAAACCACTGTGTATTGGTTTATGTTTACCTACTCTTTGATAAAATCAGTGTCCATTGTACGATTCCAACTCGATAATAAGCATGTGTTTATGAATCACTATTTATTTAATCACTATTAAAAAATGGTGATAGCAGGCTCTCGCAACAACGTGGGCGTAGCCTGCCCCAACAGTGTCAGTCTTCAAAAACACATGTAAAGGCAAGACAAGTGTTGACCTACAAAACGCGCAACATATGGTACAAGTAAAAAGAGGTTGGTTGGTTGGTTTGTTGTTTAACGCCGCACTCAGCAATATTCCAGCTATATGATGGCGGAGTAAAAAGAGGAAATGCGTCAGACATAATTTTGATCACTGATTTAGAATTTGTGTTTTGTGGATAGTTCTTTTTTGTGACTCTCACTCTTCATGTACAGATCTAAATACAAAATAGATTAGGCAGTTTCACTTGCCTCTTTTATTTCTACTTTAAGTTGGTAAATCAATGGAATGGAATTGGCGACTTGGCTATTATCGAACTATCAGATAATAATAATCATCATAATAATACCCGTCTATTCGTATTCTTTTGGTGATGTTGATTGGACGAAACAAGAAATTCAGGATATTGACACCCTTAGACAAATGATTGAGTTAGCCTTTAAACTTTAATGCATCGGCATTATTTCAGCCATATAGCGACCCTTCACATGAAGAATCATCATGTCAGACAACAGATCGCACCACCCGCGCTCTTCCCTCAATCGCTTATATTTGCCAATAATAATGGGAGGGAGTGATTTGATTAATGGTGGAGGCTCTTCATGATAGGATTGTTTTGTGCAATTTTGCACACATTTATTGGTCTGCTGATCCTCTTGTGAAGCATGTCAAAACTCATGATGAAAACAAGGCATTTCACAGTTTCCTTAAGCGAGCCAAGGATATGGGACATAATTTCAATGTTATTTTGATTTTGTTGGTAGTTCTGTACTGCTTGATGATACTGAAATGAGTGTCAACCAAGCGAGGTGCCATATAATATCCCAGACTCAGATGCTATCTGAACGACCACTGCATCGCGTTTCTATGCAGTATGTTGAGAGGATCAGCAACCGTGCAGATTCCTCCACTTGGATGAAGTAGGCGAGCCTAAAAAGCGAAACAGAAGGCTTTCTGTTTGCTGCTCAGGACCAATCACTTCCCACTCGAAAACGTTATCTGTGTCCAATATTTTTTCACACATTGTGTAATCAGCAACATACAGTCAAGTGAATCAGTCATACAGTCAGTAACAGTACTATTGTGTTAAACGTTGCATGATTAGAAAACATATTCCGCTAACAATGTAACATAACAATATGAATATTTCCTTTTTTTATTACGTCTTTCAATCGTTATCTATAGTGTAGTTGTCCGATTGCCGATCACAAACGTTAATACTACCTAATTTCGTTTATCTGACATGCTCGTTAATCCGACCTAATGTACTTAACTGCATGACATTTGCCTTCATTTTTGACAAATTGTCGTGAACCATTGAAGATTGAGATGTCATTATATCTTGGGCACCGCATTTAGTGACACATTTTCCAACAAATGCCATCAAGGAATGAAGTTTATCATCAAGGTTGTTGTGTAGGACAAATATCTTCTGTAAATATGAAGAAAGTCCTTCCTGGATTGTATTACGAATTATGGTTAATCGTTGAGACATGTACCCTGCCATATATTTCTCCTTGTACGGATTTGTTATGGAGCCCTGGTACGTTGGTAAACAGTTGACTGGGACAGAAAGAATTTATTCCAATTCTGTTTCCTCTCTTTCAGTTTGTTCTTTCTGCCAATTGTAACAAAGACTTCATCAACACCGAGAGACTTGTGGACTGATGTCCCGAGTTTCATTAAAAGCTACAAAAGTAATGTTTGGGCCGAGACATAAAACTGCCCCAAACTGTGTTGCAAAACGAACATATTTAATTCTAAAACGTATTGCTTTACTTATAGGCAGCCAGCCATCTGCTCTTGTACAAAGCGGACACAACTAAAAATTGACATATCGTTTTTAGCTTCAACAAAATCAGCAAATCCGCTATCGTGTCACTGGATTTTTTTATCAATCACTTAATTATTTAGAGGTCGTCGTCGCATGACATGAGAACCACTTTTCAGCGTCAGGAAAGAAACAAACACTTACATTCTTGTGCAAATTGTGCCAGTGGCGGGTGCTACCTGCAGGGTAGAACATGCGTTATTCGCGTGTCTGGTAATGATCTAACGTTAACGTTTTATCATGACTGAAAAATGGACAAAGATCAGTGAGATATTTTTCGTGATTTCAAGACGCAACATATTCATCTAGTTTCCCTAGAATGATGTTAAGTGTTTCGTAACATTCTGTATTTCAGGTTATTTTCAACTTTCAGTGAGTGAGTGAGTTAAGATTAATAGTCACATCGGCAGTATTTCAGCCATATCGTGACCAAATCCAGTTTACAATAATAATACATAATTATAGACTATAACATATGTCGACAAAGGACAGTAAAAGCACCAGATTATGACAGGTATAAATTTAAAACAAGTAAACAACAATATTATTGTGACTCTCCAGAACAATACATTGTAACAATGGGCTGTGAATCACCAGCAACCAAAGTTAGGCCACCATACTAGGGACTCAACTTTCAAAGGAGTACAATAATGAAACGTTTTGCAGACTTTTTGACCATGGTCAGCGTTTCGCTGACATTCATGAATCTACATTTATCTGATTTCTAGATCTTCAACAAGATTGAATATTATCAACGTGAGAAGACTGTTTAAATCGTGTACATTCGAATAGGATTATTCATAAAACGCTTTGCTTCTGTTAATTTCGCAGCGTATTTCCCAATGTACTGCATAAATATTGTTGAATTTTCAATTCACCTGTTGTAACAGTTCATCATATACTAGTATTCATAAAATAATTGATATTGTAACAGGTTACCTCTTTTGTTTAATAAGCAACAATTAAGTTATTTATTTCCCACAAACGTCGACGTGATTGCCATGTGTAGCATCCAGAAATTCTAATCGTGGAAATGAGTGTTGACACTGACATTCCCGATATTTAGGATTTACCCTTGAATGATTAAGTCTCATTTGTTAATGGTTATTAACAAATCAGGATTCATATGTATCGTACTAGAAATAGATCCAAATTCGTAAATCTACTTGGCCATTCAGAGTCAGAGTAACAGAAAAGTTTTGAGGTATGATCAAGCATGCTCTTTCTACAAAGATTTCAAAGAGCGTCATACGACTCTTTCTCAAAACTTGTTTGATCAGGGTTACAATATTCCAGGTCATAGGAAAGCTTTCAAAAAGTCCTTATGTAGACATTTAGGAGAGTTTCCACATTTGATGTATAAGCAACCACAATGACCTAGTAGTGATTCATAATCACATGGTCAAGATCAAGTCGAAATCCTACAATAGACTCTGCTTTTAGCATACATTTCTTATGATTATAGAAAGTTTTTTGTCGCATTCATTTACATCATTATCGTTGTTGCCTAGTCACCTTTGTTGGTCTCACATGTAGGTATCTTTAAGATTACGCGTTTTGTGAATTCAAAGATGCATGTGGCAGCAGGGTAGCCTATTGGTTAAAGTGTTCGCTTGTCACACCGAAGTACCGGGCCCGATATTCTAGTTGTGTTGCGCCCATTTCTGGTGTCCCCCATCCTGATATTGCTCCAATATCAATGACTACGAGAGAGTTGTTACATGTGCTGCTGAAACTAACTGCCTCCTGCGACTCCCAGGTTAATGCAATAGATTAGCACACCCTTGATTATCAGATTGGATAGGTTTCTGAGGTGTATGCTTGCTTACTTAATTTTACTTCCCATGTGCAACGGAGAGAAGAATACCTTATGAATTGTGAATTTGCACTTACTCCTTACTCTAGATATCGAGGATGAATCATCAGGTCTTCTTCAATACAAGGCTTTGATCAATCATCATGTTGCTTCAGGACTGGATCGTGGCTATGATAAGGAGCGTACTGCAAAAGAAAAAAACATACTTATCTTCGAAACAACGCCATGACATCATGGATATGTACGGATAACACGTGGTATGTCACGTTGCAAACAAGTTTGAAACTTATAACTGATTTCCTTCTTGTGAAGGACTTTCACATTGTATTATGTGTATTAAGCTAATTTGGAAATGTTACAGTTAACGAAAGAATATATCTCGGCCCATAAGTATTTATTCCAGTCGAATGGCCAAAGCATCCATGCAATACGTACATTACAGAACCATGAACATCTAAGGTAACATTGGTCGACCGGCACTTCTGGTTGGACATCTCTACGGTTGAATCGTTGATGTTGACAGGTCTATTGCGTTGTGTCTTCGACTTGAAGTGTAGGTGTAGCTTACGATTGTGTTCATTCATGTGAAGAAGAATTTCAAATTTAACACAGCAGAGATTAGGTACATTCATTCATTAAACAATACAATATATTGCATAGCAAACGTTTTTAAATATTTGTTATACAGATAATCATACATGTATAGAACAATTTAAAATAAGGCATAGCAAAGATTATGTACATTCATTCATTCACCAATGCAATATATCGCCCAACAAACGTTTTTGTATATTGTTTATACAGATAATCATTCACAATACGAAATAGCAAAGATTGTCAACATTAATGCATGAAATAATTCAATATATACCAGTCATAAGATTGTGTACGTTAATGTAATGAATAATTTATTATGTAGCATAGCAAAGATTGTATACATTCATGCATTGAACAATTCAAATTATAGCAAAGCAAAGATTGTGTACATACATGCAGTATATCATCAACATTTTTTCCTGGCAAAGAGTGTGTATACTATTATTAATACATAGAATAAATGAAGATATAGCATAGCAAAGGTTGGGTACCTCCATCCATGAAACTTTACAAAATTACCATAGGATAAACTGTGTAAATTCCTACATAGTACGATTAAAACATACAGCAAAGTAAATATTGTGAAGATATATTATGCTCATACCTGACACAGGAGAACAATTATACTTATTAGATGCATCAATAATAACAACATACAGAAGTTTTGTAATCAAATCGAAGGATGTAGCAAATATATTTCAATGTTCAATGTATTTAAATGGTTGATTTGGTAAATGCAAAAATATCAAGCATGGTGTCAACAGCGATGCAGTAATAATAACATCCCAGGTCATAGAAGGCAAGTTAGGAAAGCTGGATAAGTTAGATGGAAGACCTACAGCTGTAGGTGAGATCTATTATTCTATATCTTGTTAAATTGGAAAGAAACGAAACATGCAGTAAGCATCAGTGTTCACGTTCAAAACTTTCATCTCTCACACGGACATTCACTCCGTTGGAGTGGTACATCGTACTATGTTATAAAGGCAAGGAGGTACTCTCTTCTGGTTCTACATTGATCGCAATATATCAGAACACAAAATCGGAACTTTGTTTATCACCCAGAGAGTAAACTGTTATCATAAATCAAAGGTAAATAGACACTCTTTTTCTTCTGTAATTTGTATTGGTGGTTGGAATAAGACAATCGTTTCATTGTTTCGCGCAAAGCCTCTATATTTCTCTGGACAACATTTATATCATTTCTACACAGATGAATGAACATTGGAAAGTCAGTACAAAAGGCTTGGTCAGACATACATAATATATGTGATCAATACAAGGAATATGAATTTCTTCTTAAGGTTTGTCATACTCTCGATTTCTTTAGTTTAAATACTCCTGGTATCTTTACAACAGTCGCTCTACACGTCCAGTGGTTATGCGTATTTAAACTGCTGCTAGTTGTAACAGACACATATCCAACACCCATAGGAGACTGAATAAGCTTGTGTGTGATCATACAACTCTTAAGATGTCTTCTGATCTTTGTGGTTCGACATATGACCAGAAAGGCACAGTTTCGTTCTCCGATAATTAAACTGAAAGTTGTACATGTACACAACAGAAGTATAAACTGTATGGCAAATTGGCTTTCACATACCACTACATGGAGGAACGTTCCAGTGTGTCTGACTGGTTTCCATCAGTGGACCTGTGCAGTTCTTGCCACCGGCTTCCGGGGCAGGGTTGTTACAATCCCTACGTCTGCTCTGATTTGTCAAGGCATCTACTCCACACGTGACAGGGCAGGGTACGATTGACCACGATGTCCAGTTTGACAGCCCTCCATCAACTGCAAAGTATCAAGATTGTCAACACAGTGATATGCTAGCAATCCATATATTATAAATAATAAATGTGACAATTGTGTAGTAAATGCACTATTTGCTGTCTATAGTGAAATCAGGAATGTTTCTGCTTGCCACAGAAAATGAAACCAGTGTTGTTTATTCACTGAGATTCGTTTTGGTTCTGACCATGTCTCACCTGTACAGTGTTCGTCAAATATACCAAAGGGACGATTTATCTGATGCCTTTAGCAATTGATACATAATGTTATCAGGATATTCCATGTATTTCAAAATGTAGTAACATAAAAATGATTTGGCGATTGATTAACAGTGTAAAATGGACATGGTTTTTATATCTTATTTGGGGAACAGGTGTCATACGAGCAAGTTAATTGGAGACGGATTGGATATTCCATTCGTATTCTCTCCTTTGTTAACTTGGAGACACACTATTAATGTCAACATCCTTTACATACAAATTCGCTCTGTCAGAGCTGCTTCAGTCAAGGGGGAGAGGCTTTTCCATAGTTTGGTGTTGGAAATATAGCACTAAGAGTGTACATGAAACGAGTTACTTCTCAGGGAAGGGTGGCTACATTTTATAGACTGCAATACATGAAAGTGTTACAGTTACAAATGGCTACACATTTACCTGGGCATTTTGGGAGGCCGCAGTTTTCCATTTGGGATTCTGTTAGTTCGGCTATACAGCTGATATTATTGGCCGGCGTAATACAACTTCTGCTTCTTTCAATGCTTCCCTCTAGGGCTGGACCACAGGTGGCTGTGCATACTGCGGGACTCCACTGGCTCCACCCGCCAACAACGTCGTCGCCTAGTGGTTGGAATAGGCAAATCGTTTCATTGTTTCATGCAATACCTCTTTATTTCTCTGGACAACATTTCTATCATTTCTACAAAGATGAATGAACATTGGTAAGTCAGAACAAAAGGCTTGGTCTGACATACAGTAAACTACGGTTATAACGAACTCAAATGGCTTACTATTTTTAGTTCGTTATATCCGTAGTTCGTTATAAGCATATATACAGCATAACCACAGCAAACAGACGGGACTAAAAAGTAATTTCGTTTGATCCGTCAGTTCGTTATAAGCGTGTTCGTTATAACCGTAGTTTACTGTACATTATATATGTGATCAATACAAGGAATATGAATTTCTTCTTTAGCTTTGTCATACTCTTGATTTCTTAAGTTTAAATACTCCTGGTATCTTTACGACAGTCGCTCTGCACGTCAAGAAGTTATGTGTATTTTAACTGCTAGTTGTAACAGACACATATCTCACACTCATATGAGAGTGCATAAGATTGCGTGTGATCATACAGCTCTTAAGATGTCATATGATCTTTGTGGTTTGACATATGACCATAAAGGCACAGTTTCATCCTCCGATAATTAAACTGAAAGTTGTACATGTACACTACAGAAGTATAAACTTTATGGCAAATTGGCTTTCACATACCACTACATGGAGGAACATTGCAGTGTGCCTGACTGGTTTCCGTCAGTGGACCCGTGCAGTTCCTGCCACCGGCGTCCGGGGCAGGGGCGTTACAATCCCTACGTCTGCTCTGGTTTGTCATGGCATCTGCTCCACATGTGACAGTGCAGGGTACGATTGACCACGATGTCCAGTTTGACAGCCCTCCATCAAGTGCAAAGTATCAACATGGTCAACACAGTGATATGCTAGCAATCCATATATTATCAATAATAAATGTGACAATTGTGTAGCAAATGCTGATGTTGTGTTCATCCGACTATTTGCTGTCATTAGTGAAATCAGGAATGTTTCTGCTTGCCACAGAAAATGAAACCAGTGTTGTTCATTCACTATGATTCGTTTTGGTTCTGACCATGTCTCACCTGTACAGTTTTCGTCAAATATACCAAAGAGACGATTTATCTGATGCCTTTAGCAATTGATACATAATGTTATCAGGATATTCCATGTATTTCAAAATGTAGTAACATAAAAATGATTTGGCGATTGATTAACAGTGTAAAATGGACATGGTTTTTATATCTTATTTGGGGAACAGGTGTCATACGAGCAAGTTAATTGGAGACGGATTGGATATTCCATTCGTATTCTCTCCTTTGTTAACTTGGAGACACACTATTAATGTCAACATCCTTTACATACAAATTCGCTCTGTCAGAGCTGCTTCAGTCAAGGGGGAGAGACTTTTCCAAAGTTTGGTGTTGGAAATATAGCACTGAGAGTGTACATGAAACGAGTTACTTCTCAGGGAAGGGTGGCTACATTTTATAGACTGCAATACATGAAAGTGTTACAGTTACAAATGGCTACACATTTACCTGGGCATTTTGGGAGGCCGCAGTTTTCCATTTGGGATTCTGTTATTTCGGCTATACAGCTGATATTATTGGCCGGCGTAATACAACTTCTGCTTCTTTCAATGCTTCCCTCTAGGGCTGGACCACAGGTGGTTGTGCATACTGCAGGACTCCACTGGCTCCACCCGCCAACAACGTCGTCGCCTAGTGGTTGGAATTGGCAAATCGTTTCATTGTTTCATGCAATACCTCTTTATTTCTCTGGACAAAATTTCTATCATTTCTACAAAGATGAATGAACATTGGAAAGTCAGTACAAAAGGCTTGGTCTGACATACAGTAAACTACGTTTATAACGAACTCAATTGGCCTACTATTTTTAGTTCGTTATATCCGTAGTTCGTTATAAGCATATATACAGCATAACCACAGCAAATAGTCGGGACTAAAACGTAAGTTCGTTATATCCGTCAGTTCGTTATAAGCGTGTTCGTTATAACCGTAGTTTACTGTACATAATACATGTGATCAATACAAGGAATATGAATTTCTTCTTTAGCTTTGTCATACTCTTGATTTCTTAAGTTTAAATACTCCTGGTATCTTTATGACAGTCGCTCTGCACGTCCAGAAGTTATGTGTATTTTAACTGCTAGTTGTAACAGACACATATCTCACACTCATATGAGAATGCATAAGATTGCGTATGATCATACATCTCTTAAGATGTCATATGATCTTTGTGGGTTGACATATGACCAGAAAGGCACAGTTTCGTCCTCCGATAATTAAACTAAAAGTTGTACATGTACACTTCAGAAGTATAAACTGTATGGCAAACTGGCCTTCACATACCAATACATGGAGGAACATTGCAGTGTGTCTGACTGGTTTCCGTCAATGGACCTGTGCAGTTCTTGCCACCAGCTTCCGGAGCAGGGGCGTTACAATCCCTACGTCTGCTCTGGTTTGTCTTGGCATCTACTCCACATGTGACAGAGCAGGGTACGATTGACCACGGTGTCCAGTTTGATAGCCCTCCATCAACTGCAAAGTATCAACATGGTCAACACAGTGATATGGTAGCAGTCCATATATTATCAATAATAAGAAATAATCAATAATAAATGTGACAATTGTGTAGCAAATGCTTGATTTTTTGTTTTCCGACTATTTGCTGCGTATTGTGAAATCAAGAACTGACTTTTGTAACAGTGCCTATTATTTATTGCCGCTGCTAATATTTTGACCAGTTGTATTATATTTTATGACTGTAGACCAAATCCGATGTGTTCAGATCATTTGTTAATTGTTCATCGATCCTTTTTTTGGTTTTTTACTGATTTCACAATTTAGTTCTGTACCTATCTGGGTTATTCTATTCAACTGAATTTGGCAATCAACAAGTTACAATGCTTTAAGTTTGAACCAATGCATATCAAACACATTGTCTCTTGCTGGAGTGTCATGCAGGTAGTATAATTGGCGTCAGTCACCATTCAAGGACCCGAGATTTAAGGCCTCACTTTGGTTGGTGATGATCTGCAGCCCGTGTTATACTGTATTTGGTTTTGTTTGGTTTGTTGTTGAACGTCGCACTCAGCAATATTCCAGTTATATGACCAAATTCAACCACCTTCTTCTTTACCAAATAACACTGTCGGGGATGTCTGTCATCATTCGTTTTAATAAGTGCACAGCAGTATTTAACACACTTCATATGATATCCACATTCAAACCATATCTTCAACATTCAGCCAGTATCGCAATATCTCCGTGCTGGATACATATTTACCAATGTCTAAAATAAATAAATTAGTATGAAAAGTTTCAACACTGACATGCGTTGCAACCCCAAATCTCCACACCCTAAAGAAGAATGGGTTTCATCTTTATATCGAATAATTTAAATAAAATGTTAACTGGCACATTTACAAAGTGAAAGCGAAGCTTCTAATGGCAAATAAAACCTCATTGTTAATCTAGATTCTTTGAACAATGATTAAAAGAAAACACCTTTTAATGTTCAGCTTTGTTCCGACGTATTATGCTATTGCTAATACACTGTATTTACGATTTTGCATTTACATGGTAGTGAGTGGGTGAGTTTGGTTTTACGCTGCTTTAGCAATATTCCAGCGATATCACGGCAGGGGACACCAGAAATGGGCTTCACACATTGTACCCATGTCGAGAATCGGACCCGGGTCTTCGGCGTGTCGAGCGAACGCTTTATCCACTAGGCTCCCCGACCGCTCCTATTTTCATGGTAGTTGACAGTAGTACACATACCTGGACAACGAGCGACTTCACGCGATCTGTCGACGATCTCCTGCACTGGTTCAATGCAGAATGATCCACCATTGGTCGGAACTGGGTTGTCACATTGTCGCAGCCTTAATGATACTCCCGTAACATTCTCCCCACATGTTGGACACCTCGGAATGTCCCACTCTCCCCATTCTGACACTCCACCATCAACTGTGAAAACAGAAATTCATTTTAAATGTTTGAAAATGGTTACGAATTTGGAGCGTTGAATAAATGCGTATTCTACATTTACATCCGATACATCAATCGTTTCTTGCATTCATACAGTGACAGAAGAACCAAAGTTAATTAAATAAGGAAATATTTCAAGGTTGGTAGTGTCAAGAGGTAGAAAATAAGACATATCACAGTGTCACTAAAATAGACAAGACAGGGCACAGCAAAAAAAGTGTAGGTTTCCGTCTTCCGGAAACCTTCCGGAAACCTTCCGGATACCCTCCCATTTTGGATCCGGCCCGGATACCTTTCGGAAACCTTCCAAAACAAATGTCAAAATTTGGGGGGTGCATTTTGTTCACTTAAGTGTGAAACACATAAAAAAATTAACTTGAAGATACCAAGCAATTTGAAGGTTGCTGAAGGCATCTGGAAGGTTTCAGGAAGGAATCCGGATGCAAATTTTCTTCATGACTTGCTTCTGCTAAATAATGTTAGCATGTGCATTTCAGGTAGCTGTTGTAATATTCTGGGTTACTTTAATGGTAAATATCCTCCTAAAACATTTTTTGAGAAAAGACAATTGTTCAATTTCATATATTGTCCTTTTCAGATGTTAATGGTATTTAATGAACAAACATCAGTTCTCGTACAATGATATCCTTAAATTTCATGTCCAGACTTCCAGTTTGTACTGAGAGAAAGAAAAAGTCATTGACAATGTGCTCACTTGGGCCTTTGGTCCTAGTGAGATGATAATAAGACTATTTGTAACGGTACATGTACTTGTTATATCCAAAATACTAACTTCATTGAAATTTGCCTCACCCTAGTTTTATGGTACTACAGTGAGCTCTTCCTCAGTTACTGTGAAATCTTTTATTAAAAGGGATTGAGAGTTAATTTGACACTGGAGTTGTAACCACTGCTCATATATGTGTATTCAAATAATATAACAACTATGTGCTTAATACTTCACAAATATCTCCAGAAATAGGCATTTTAGTCATAATTGCAGAAATACTTTATGAATGACCCCTTCACTATTGCCTTGATCTTACACTTCAACCCTTCATGAGTTATCACTTTTGAGTGTGAATTTGACCTTCAATATCAGTGATAAATATTTCAAAAACATTTCAAAGAGCTATCCAGCACATAAACCAAATATGCAGTCCTTTGGTAGAATTCAACATATCATTGACAAAAATATGAAAGTAATGTAACCAGTATATGTATAAGAGTTACTAAGACTTCTGCAGAAAAGACAATTTAGGGGAAAATGTAGTATAACTTCGACCCCTGCCCAAAGTAAGAGTTAGACCACAAACAAACTTTTTGTCTGGTTGTGACTTTGACCTTGACATAACAGATCAATGTGTCATCAGACGTTTTCAGAGCAAAGGAAACATGTGTTATTTATTCTTGAGATGCCCAAGCAATGCATGGTTTCATAAGATAAGTGTAGCTATTAAACTGAGGCAAAATCATGAAACATCCCCATTTACACAGCTGGCAAATGAAACATAAGCAACAATCAAATTATCAATTTCTTTTATTCATATGCCTATAGTATATCGCACATTGAACAGTGTTCACATGATGGTTCCTGATGCAGTATGCAATTTCATCTTATTCTTCAATACTCATAACAGAGTGTGATAACTGTTCGCTTGACAGTACCTACGGATTATGTTCACCAGTTCAGAGAACTTACTTTCCCTCAATACTCCTTTTCTTTCTATATTGTCATGGATGAACAGGAACCAGGATGAGGGGATACCAGTTGGACTCTATCTCTGTAGCATTGTGTTAGTAGAATTGTGAACTTTCCATTTGGTGTTTGGGTCCACATTTAAAGACAATAAGTCCCATTTATCATTCCTTTCAAGTGTTTACCACATGGCTCAAGACAAGAATTTCCTGAATGTCCTGGAAGAATTCCACTCAAG